TAATATTTTTCAGAAAATTTTAACGTTTATTTTTGAGAGACAGAGTGTGAGCAGGGGAGGGGCAGAGAAAGAGGGAGACACAGAATCTGAAGCAGGATCCAGGCTCTGAGCTGTCAGCACAGAGCCTGACGCGGGTCCTGAATTCATGAACCACAAGATCGTGACCTGAGCCAAAGTCAGATGCTAAACTGACTGGACCACGCAGGTGCCCCTGACTTAATATTTACCACTAGTATTTTTGAAGCAGTTTTTACACTATTTTTTATGAGGTCAGTTCACATCCATAGCTGATTCTTTTTTTTCTGGATCTGTCTTTCATATTCATTTGTGATATCCACCTTTGAAAGGCCAGGCTCCTCCTATCAGATTCTACTTTGATGAACAGGTGTGCACTGATGTGCATTCTCTAGAAGACTAGTTCTCTTCTCAGCACTGATATTTGCTGAGTTACCTAGGGGATGCACTTAGTCTCCTAAGTTCCCATATACCCAGTAAAAAGGAAAAGTAAACCCTATCCCTGCCTTCTCCCAAGTTCTTTAAAGATTAATAAAGGGAAAGTAGCCAATGATTTCAAACTGAGAATCATGACTTAAGCATTAGAAAGCATTATCATGATACATTGCTATTATTACAGTTTGTTGTGTTTCTGCCATCTTTATTTCAAGGTCAATAAGCCAATGAAAGGAGACATACTTTACAGGCAACTGTATTGGCAGTCTGTAGTGAAGTTTATTTGGTATTCACATAGGTTCCAGTACACAGACAATATTACTTAGTTTAATGGACATGAACACGTGTTTGCATTGGGCGCTCAGGTACCTATCCAAATGTAAGCCCTCCTTCAACAAATGCCACTCGTTGGGTAGATGTCACAGTCTTCTGAGATCTTAGGAAACGTGAATTTCCAGATTGAGTTAGAACCTGAAGCGTCTTGGAGTTGTGAACCTTGTGCTCACACCTTTAGAAATGGTGTGGTTCTTAGAGGAGTGGAAAAGTAGTTATTTGTTTTATTGTAACTGCTTGAAATGAGGCCGATAGTGTTTGAATTGTAAAACAGGATGGGAAACTGGATACTTCGCATTTAAATTTATTGATAGTTTTGTAGCATAATACTAAAATCTAGCATAGGCTACTTATATTTGGGATATTTACCAATATGTGGGGTATGAGACTAGAATTCTAGAAGGAAACACATTCACTTTCCTCCAAAAAGACAGAATTGAGAGCCTCGTCTCATGATCTCTTCCTTGCTCAGCACTTTTTATTTTTACCTACCTCTGGCACCAGCCAAAGCGATGAGTAACTCTTCTCTGTGCATATGCCCTTTCTTTAAAAGAGGGCTCGGCATCTACATCACGATAAAGCATTTTGACCATCTAGAAGTATAGTAGCAATAGGTGGAAAGATTAAATGAACTCTAAGCACGGTACTTAGCCAGAATATAACACCATCGTGAAATGTCCTATCTTCCTTGTAGCTTGCCTAGCATTCAGATAGGGCACCTCCCCCATCATGTCATGTATACATTGTTTTCCTCTTCCCATATAGAAACTAGAAGCCCAAAATGCAAATTAGGTGATAGTTACGATTACTTAGCCAGAAAAAAAAAAAAAAAAAAGGAAGAAGAAGAAGAGGCTTTTTTGAAAGCGAAAGTAGATGATTGAGGTCCAGCATATACCTGGCTCTTTATGTTTTATGTAGTTGCTTACTGTTTCATGTAAATTTTGTCCCAGAATGCCAAATATCAGGGTTTCTCTGTTGAATTTGGAAGGACAGGTCACATTCTGATTTTGGTCATCTTTCTCAATGTTAGAAACTTCGCTTCTGTGTGTCTCTCAACGAGACGGGAGACACTATGAAAGCAGCCTAGAGCCTAGAACACTCTTCACCCTTCATGTCGGCACTTGGAGACCAAAGCACTGCATCAGCATACATTTATTGAGAACCTGCTTTGTGCACAGTGCGGGGGAGAATACTGACAGGAAAAACAAAGATGAATAAAACATTTCCTCTGACCTCCAGGAACGTCCAATCTGGTTGAAGAAATAAGATCCCATAAACGTTAA